TGCACAAGTGCATTAGCTATTCATCAAAAAAGACTGGCACAGTAATATACAAGAGGTGAGAAAGTGAATTAAATTAGCCCTCTCACCAAATGACAACAGTCAATTCCCCTATATAGATATAACCAACCTAAATAGCCTATCTAGGTCTTTTCTTGAGATTACATTATTATCTCTGATCCTGATTCATGTTCGTCATCTAAAATAATAACACTACTTCCAATCAAATTCCTAAAGTAATTGTATTAGACGATACTCGTAATAGCGACTATCATCTGGGCACCTATCTAGCCAATTTACATTTATCCGTTGCGCAATAAACTAATGGCCTCTCTCGCAGAGTAGCACCATAAAAAGGACCATCAATTCTTTATATTCGTGCGGAAAAAGATCATAGATAAACTCTTCGAAACCCATCGAGGCGAGACATCTGTTAAAAATTCTGTGAGTTGCTATACTAATAACCAGGAGTACATCATGCCTGAAGAATTATAACGCAAGCGATTGACAACGTCCCATTTCGGAGCGCGAGAAAAGTACGTTAAGACTGAGCCGGGCATCGAGCGGACTAATATCAGCAAGCATTTTTCACAAGAAAAATTAAACATCTAGACATAAGACTGCTAGATACAGTCAGCACTTGCGCCTACTTCCGGAAGGACAGCGCAAGGAGTCTCCAACCCCTCCTTTTCTAATCCTTCATTTCCTGCAACAGACACATCACTGAGCAAGGTGATATGAAGAATTGAGTGTCGCGAATACGCCAAAAAGCAGTTCCCGAAAGTGCAATTCGCGACCTTCGGGAACTGCTTCTTCTGACTCATTTAGAGGTATCCATACCGCGATTTTGGATTTCTTCAAGTCTTTGCAAATGTACTTCATCTTTGCAATAAGATAATATGTATTCTCAACTGCTGACTGATAAGTTGGACTTGTCCCCCGTGCGGCACATTGAAAGGAAAAAAATGGTTCTCCACCGAAAGTTTTTATCGTTTTCGATATGTTGCCTGTTCTCCTCAATGAACCAATATTTATCGCATCGTATCTCGCACTGTCAAATATTCAATCACCGACTCCCTTGCCGCAATCACGCGCTCACGCCGCGAGAAACAACTGTTTACAACGCCTGTACGCCGAGAGAGATCGCTACGACGTGGATCTTTACGTATCGGAAATATACGAGCACGCAGCTTCCTCACACAGCGGCTCTCACCAGCCTTTTTCGCTCTTAAAAAAACAAATAGCTCTCCGACTACATCTACGCAATAGATAGCAACACAAATCGTCTTAGCCCATCTCAAATATGCAGAGCTAGCACCACTATATATCCTACATATCTCAGAAAGAGCTGATTCTCACGCACTCTATAACTAGACAAACCCCCCAACACACCACCCATAAAAGACCAAGATTGCTTAGCGGGATAACATCTCGTAAAAAAGCCATCTTTCACTCAATATCACCGAACTTCACTGCACAACGCCTGATAAGCGAGGATGGGTACGTTGGTACTAAGTCCGTGAATCAATCCTAATCTGAATCGAGTACTTAGATCTCGACCTAAAAACAGAAAATCACAATACTGTTTTAGCTCAGCTAGCTGGTGCTCGTCAGTTCTCTCTAGCGGTATCCTGACGATCTCACATAATCCGTCGAAAAGTTCCCACTTTATCCGAGTGCTATAGATGATACCATTGGCCGAGCACCAAAGTGCTCTGCGTGTCATTCGCTCTTCAAATAAATGAAATATACTAAGTGAAATAAAAAGTTTGTCGAACAAAAATCGAATTTCCGAAAAGAAAGAAAGAAAAAAAATATTTCAACACGAATAGCTAAATACTTAATCCGTTTTCATTTGAATATCAGCTGTGGTAACACAAATGAAGACTGTGCGCGGAGAGGAGAGTATAAGGTGAGAGAGCAGAACAAATGAGAGGGCTCCAGACAACAGACTGCTACAAACAGGGAAGATTGAAGCTATCGAAGCTGTCTTTGCATGGCTCTAGCAGGCAACTGTCATGAACAGGACCACATCTGCGACTGTCCTCTACGAAACTATCCTGAGGGCGGAGGGGAATCATTTACAAAACATCTGCGTGGGTTGCGCCATTGATGGAGAAAGGTGCACAATACATCCAATAAGGACTAATTAGTTGATCAACACTTAAGAATTGGAAATCTCTATATTTTGCCAGATCGTGACTTCCCCCCTTGTTAATTGAAAAAAGTTATTGGATTTCGATATCGTTCACAAAGCAATGGAATATGCGATACAAAAACAGCTTGCTCCTGGTCCGAGCTGTTTCTCGATTATTTAGAAGCGGGTGCACACTCAATAATTCACTCCAAAGTTAACAACGAGGAATAGTCCTTGTTTCCCTGAATCTTATCGCTCAGAAGAAATGGTTCCTAATCGCAAAGCAATTCATAATTTTGCAATCAGACGGCTTCGGCTGAACCGGTTCACTTCAAGAAGTATTAGCATAAGGAGAACTTTGTGTGAACTTCGTATCTGTAGCGAAATTACGTGCAGATTCGATTTTTATGAAAATAGCTCCATTGCTTGAAGTGGCGGTGTAGCTGACCCTGGAGCACAGATCATCCAGCAGGAACAATGGCTGTGACCTGACATTGTGACCTATCCCATTGTTGACAATGTGATTTTTCGCGTGTCTGCCAGGGGATCCACGCCTTTTTCAATATTCTCGAAAAATGCATCATAATGCAGCAAATCACCTACACCAGAAATATCGAATCTAAAAGCAAGAACTGTTGAGACTTCGCATGTCTCAAATTGTTGCCGATCGCTGCAAAATGAGCTAAATCTTTTCGTTTTGTCCAAGGGTGGATTTCGCAGCGAGACAGAAATTTTTCAATTTCTATTCTGAAACCCTCAAATTGGGTCGGATCCAGATCTATTTTTGTGGAAAGTTGTGTCACACCTCTAGCTAGTGGAAAGCAATAACCCAGCCTCATACTTGAAAATACAAGTTTTCCTTCGAAAAATCACTTAGGACCCCCCCCCCTCCGTAAAACATTATTTAGAAAGATATGCATGGGCCACGATTACCATAAGTACTACAAACGCCTTCCTGATTAATGTATGCCACTAAAATAGTTTTGGAAAATCGTACGCAAAAGAATTATCCCTATGCTGCGTCCCCACATCGAGCCGCAATGTCGCCAATGGGTTAAATTCCAAAGACAACAACGAGTCGACCAGCTGCCATTTCAATCTTAGGGGCTCCCCGTCGAATATGATGTTGCAACGACGACGGAATCTACAGATTTTTCATCAGAATGACGACAGATCTACAGATTTACCAACCACTACTATCTAGATGCGTTGTTCAGCTCTCACGGTAGCAGACTCTCCCTGGCGAAGACGATCGGGCCGAAACGTCGGGTCGTTAACAAAGTTGTCACCTAAAAACCCCGCTGGCAAAAGAAAAACGCTATACTTAACGGTGATGCCGAGGTTCGATCAAGAGAGAACTAGGGAATCCACAGACTTTAAATGTTGGACTGTATCATTTTTCGCTACGGATGAAATAAACTCACCTCAGTCGTTTTATGCGGCTGTTGGCCCCAGTTCACTTGCGACAATTGTTCAATGGTGGGTAATGAACAAAATTTTGTCCCAGGCGGGACTAGAACCCGCACCTCTCGCTTTCCGGGCAAGTGCGCTACCAGTTACGCTACCGGGGCACCATTTCATTCCAACTCAGCTTTTCATGGTATACGTACCATAGCTTTCAGCACTCACACGTCCGACGTGATGAGCTTGTTAGCCGGCAAGAAACCGCCTTCAAACCAAATGTTCGACTCATTTGGATTAGCTGAGGCTCGCTTCACTCATTTTAAGAAAACAAAGCTAGAATGATGTGTGAAAGGCGTGAAGCTGTAATAGCACGTGTTTGCATGGAAAATGGACTAGGAGGTTGCGCCACTCCAGATCACTTTTCCCTTCATATGAGAACGGTGATGTTCAAATATGTCGTCGTACCATAGAACACTTTCCTGAGTTCCACGATCACTATTGGTGGAAATAGGCTACGGATATAGTAAGTTTCCCTAATTTGATGTGGCTCAGATTGTGATGGGGAAAACATGACGAGGGCTCCAACCCGTGAATGTTGTTGGAAAACTTGGATACGGATTAATCGCTGGTGCTTTCGCTTTCAACTTTTCGCCCCAGGATGTTGTGTTGTCATTTTCATGCAACTAGTCCATCTTCGAACTGGTTAGTCTTCGATTATCAGAACGTAACAATCGTTCACTCACGTACCCTTAAAGACGAGTTTATCCACGAAACCGAGGAGCCAGTTGGCGAATCGGATGGAGATGCCTTTTCTGGCAACGATGAAGCAACGTGTGGAGAATTATTGAACCTCAAGAAACACGCACTTGCACCTCTTCAAAAAAGCCGTTTAAGTGCACGACAAGTTTCACGGGATTCCCCGATCAAGAGGGTTTGCGAAAAGTGTCTAGTGGAGTGGGTCTCGGGACTCATTCGCAAAATTGAAGAGCTCAAGTCGAGTGGATGATTATAAGAAGTTTCCGAAATCCTCAAGAAATTCCAAGATAATGCCATACGCGAGAAATTGCATCACAAGGCTCAGGACAAACTTAATAGTAAGTCATTCTTTCCAAGAATAAGGACTACGACTATTCTGATTCTAATCGTAGAGCTGCACACATTGTGGACCACGGCGCTGTGTGTGTGGTGGATTCCTTCATATTTTCGTTGTTTTTTTTTATCAGAAACCTTGGAAGCCACCATTGATGGGTAGTTAAATATATTTTGTTTTCTTGACTTGAAAGCTATACGTTCGTTTGGTAAGCTAAACTAAGTTAATTGCGAGGATTGTCGAATAAATCAAGAGGAACGATGCTCGCCTGAGTGACCTACTGCCGTTCACATTGCAATCAGCAATGGGGTAAAGAATGTTACAGTGGTGAAGGAACGAATTTCGAGGCTGAGCTCATACATGAAACAATGATTAGACTTTCTGCAAGGAATGCCATAACACATTTGAAATCACCATCAAAGTCTACCAACTCATAAAAGTGTTTCTCCATAACTAATTGCTACTCTCGTCCACAGCAGCGCCCGATTGACAGAAGGCAGAGATACCGCACGCTCACCAGCCACCGTGAGCTGATATTTCCCGTGCGCTCATTGAGGCCACGGTAAGGCAACGGCAAGAGGGACTGGTGTCACATGTACAGGTCAAACTCTCCACATTCAGATTCCAATCTGGAATAGAATCCAGCGTAGCACACTGAACTTTCCACCTTTTCCGGAAACAACAAGCAGTCAAGGTAGAAGATACCACTAAGCTACACGTATGCTAAGTTTTCACCTTTTTGTATAGGCCAATAAATCACCGAAATGCTCTTGTGACTCTGAATGGGAGTTTCGCGATCCAAATTGATCGGATGCAGAAGTGCTATATTTTTGTTTACCTCAGTACTCAAACTACCAACGGGGATCGAACTGTTCGAAACTTAGGCAGAAAGTGAGATAAGGAACGCTAGTAGGGAGAAAAATCAGAAAGCGCCCTAAAAACACTGAAATTTCCCTTGTGAGGTCGGCCGTGTATGACGGAGAGACACAGCGCTGCGAGGAGAGGGAAAACGCGAGAGAGTACGTCGTACGCGAGAGGGCGCAGACGCCACGTATGCCGCGATTGATAAGGATGGCAGCACGGCAGCACACAAGGCAAGGCCTTAGCGCCGTTGCCTCGCACTTTGAGTCGCGACAGTGTCGCGCCTGCTGCCCTTAAGAGCCCTTCTGTCTCAATAAAGGGAGAGTGGCTCAAGCGCCAGCGGCTTTAGTTGCACGCTGCTGGGTGGACGAGGTGTAGTGACAAGTGGCACCACATAAAATGCGGGAAGATCAATTCTTGGACCGTACGCCATTCGGCCGATCTTCGATTCCTCTGGGTCTGTGAATCACTACCGCATTTGTCTGAGTGGATAAAAACACTGACTTGCACGTGGCCTGACTTGCGCAAGTTTTCTTAGGCCAAATCGCGTGCAAGCCACTGCGATTCCAAAGGGAGGTCAAATGCGTGGCGCAGCCCTAGAAGGATTGATCAATGTCCAGTGCTTTATGCTTTTATCTGAGTCCTTATTTTTCGTTAGAAACGATGGAAGAAACCTCCGCGTACCTAGATCACCTGAAACCGGATCGAGATAAACCTGCTGCTAAAAACGAAAACAAAATCTGTCCGAAGCATCGATTTCAGTTTCTATCGAGGATCAGAGACCTTCTCACTCAGCATGAACATCCCGGACACTTGACCCAGAACCATGTTGCGATGCGAAAGAAACAGCCGATACCTTCTCTTGACACGATAATTAATTTGCGAGACTGCATCAGACATCAAAAGAAAACGCTTCGGAAGAGTTTCGATTGGGAAAGGGAGCCAGTGAACATTTTTCACGGTCAATCTTGGCGTTTGAACTATCGTTCCATAAGTGGTAACCATTTCCTCGCTTTTGGAACCAGTACACCCTAAATCTTTCCAATATCTACCCGAAGTTGCGACGGAAAGTCTGCAGTAGAAAATCAAAGCGCGTCGAACTGTGACAGCGAATGAGCGAAACTTCGAAAAAAGAAGACTGAACTCCCATAAACCAAGTGTTTCCGCAGGAACGGGAGGGCCACAGAGTACAGTTGTACTATCGTGCTCAGAAAACCCTTTATGGGGAATTGCGTCGCGGCAGACCGACCGCCGACTGTTCGCCAAGCGAAGTTGTTCGCAACAAAAAGCCAAGGTCGAGGTCAGAGCGATTATTCGTCATAATACCCTGCAAAATCTCAAACATGTGATTTTTTGCTTCAGCGGAAAGCCGTGCTGAACGATCTCGCAGACCCAGTCAATTCACCTTCAGTGGGAAAATTTCTATGAATCAGGCACATCACAACTACTGAGGAAAAATGCAGTCTTGGGAATTACTTTGGTATTCACATAGATTAAAAAGCTCAAAATAATGTTAAAAGCTAAACAGAAAGAGATGTTTTTCGCGAACTGCGGACCACAGCAGGTCATACAGGGAGTTTTTAATTGGCCTTTTTCTAAGAGATGTGAAAAAGAAAGAGTATAACGAAAATCAAATAAAATACAATTAAAGGTATAGCGTAGTTATCAAAAACTGAGAAAAAGCGAAACAAAAGTTACCAGTATGGTAGTAAGCAGCGCTCTCATGGCAGCATACGGCGAGGAGTGGGTGGCGGCAGTCACGCCCATTCTGACGTGACTGGACATCGGGAAACGCGAAGAAAACGAGGTGATCATGGGAACAGCGAAAGCCTGCTTTCCTGTCGTCCTTCCTACCAATAGTGGACCGAAAACACCTACTTTCGGCTGTGAAGTTAATTTTTATGGAGCTCGACCATTCTATCTACCTTGTTTGGGATATGTCAGATTGGATTTAAAAGTTCAATGCAATCTCTTCAGATTTCTGTTTGCTGAAAATTTCGCAGGTAGCATTTATTAACAACGAATGGTAGAGCATTCCCGAGGCTTTATCCATTGGGTTTTGGCGTTGTATCCAGTAGTTATCAAGTTATCAGTAGTTTCACTCACTCCACAAAACCTTTTTCAAGAATCAGTGTGTACTCCGAGAGTCATTGTATAGCCCAATTCGCCGTCCAATACTGTTTGCAATGGGTTCAACGGGAGTGCCTTTCACCGCTACAGCGTGTCTTACATGAAAGCGCTTTCGATCTTGGGATATTCCTTTCCTTTTGGACTATTTTTTCAAAACTAAGTTACCGATGTGTTTTATGGTGTACATTCGCTCCCTGCAACAACCTATCAACTATAGAAGTGCCGATGACGTACGCTGAATTTGACGTGGGATTTTGATCCAGGGACTATGCGCGTGGTAGCGGTCCATCTTGTTACCACATCATCATTGCTCGAATGATTTTTTTGAAACGTCAATTGGCAACCTAATTGACAATAGCGAATTCCATATCTCATTTGTTTGTTAGGCAAGTGTCCGCTAGCGACCACACTTGGGTACAATTGCAAGTCGCACTCTGTAGAAGCGCTGCGGCTCCCACCGGGTGGTTCTGCTTCAACGAGTTTTCATCGTTTTCTACTGCTTCAAGATTGTGTCATCATAGTATTATTCGATTTCACTTCCGCATACATGCTGGAATGTCAGAATCGTGGAGCTGCTATACGAAGTTATTACGCGCGGAACGCCGCGTAGTCCTCCGACTGATTCCGCTCATAAGATGCCCCGTCCTTCATCGTTCGGTGGTGAATGTTGCACCTGACACGAATGTAAAGGATATCAAAATCACTATTATAATGAGAATGTGAGAACAAAAACTTCCTTTTCGGGAGCTGCGTGCCTTACCAATAACGTGCGGCACAATATGCCTCATTGATGTCCAGAGTAACTCGCTTTGGCTTGTGACGATTTATTGTTAGAGTATAAATTATAGCATTTCTGTGTGTGCACAATTCCGCCATCAAGCGGGTACTCCAGTCTGAATAAGTCCCAAAACTTTGGTAGTGCCTTTGACTACGAAAGTGGTACATACACATGTGTTCCACCGGTGTGAAAGGTTAAGAGGCCCGCGGCGGTCGCACTCTTCAATTAGAGAGTATGGGCTGTCCGGAAACTCAACTAGAAATTCCTTCGCATAAGGGCACCAGTGTGGAGATAGAGGTCTGCGCTGTGCAAAAAAAACCCAGAAGTTGGCCGCCAGCCCGTCAAAAACGCTCGTTCCGTGCCAATTTTCATTTCCTTTATGGCTTTGGAAATCACCGTGTTCCGAAATGAATCCGTTAACGAATTCTGGAGCAGCGATGAGATTTCTTCCCTCATTTAGCGTATTCCCATGTCAACTAGTCTAAAATGGTTTGCCTTTATTTCCGCGGACGTCCAATATCTTTTATGACTGAATCAAGTTAGTCGTATTACTCTGTCTCAATACAAAATCGCCTACTTTTACGACTCGCACTCCGCCACGGTCTGGAAAAGAAGCATCGAGAAAATTTCCTGAGCATTGCATACAATGGTGGATACTCACGGTGGATGTACGACTGGTAAGGATTTGTAAATAAAAAAAGGTTAAAATGAAAACAAAACTGAGGAAAAGTACCGAATTTTTTTCAACCAAATACAGCATGTTGGGAAACTTATACTTCGATGATCATGACAACTCAAACACTTCAATTTGATTTTTCGGCACTATTCAACTATTACAACCCCAGAACCTCAAAATTTTAATTTTCGTCGAAACTTCGCCCATAGGGGTTATTCGATGCCCTGATTACGAAAATGACATTCATTTTTGACGTTGGCGCCATCTGGCGCCATTGGCGCCAGTTTGGCGCCAGGGCTATTTCCACCAAATTCGCTGTAAAGTTGTATACAGGGGTTATTCGTGGTCCTAATTACGGATATGACATTCGTTTTTGGCATTTGCATTCAAGGCATATTTCCCGTTTTCTTAGGCTCTCTCACTTGTACATATTACCTCGGACTAAGCTTATGAGGAGAGGTGAACCAGGCAACGTGTGGCAAATGTGAAGCACTTATGATCATAGGATGAGTGATTTACTCATCTCGGAGCGCTCCTTTCCTCAAAGGCTTAGTCCTTGTCGCTAGTAATCAGTGAGAGGGCTCAGACGTGCCAAAAATAGGGGCCAATGGCGCAGGCGGCAAATGAATATTATATTCGTAATCAGGACCCCGAATAACCCCTTCATACAAGTTTATAGCGAATTTGGTCAAAATAGCCCTGGCGCCAAAACTGGCGCCAGATGGCGCCACGCCAAAAATGAATGTCATTTTCGTAATCAGGGCACCGAATAACCCCTATGGGCGAAGTTTCGACGAAAAATTAAAATTTTGAGATTTTGGGGTTGTAATAGTTGAATAGTGCCGATTTTTCCTTCAAGCAATACACTAGGCCTATGCTGGCCTTGAACAGGCTCGGGCTTTTATGTCTTCAGAAGAAGAGAGTAATTTTTTAGCTCATCGCAGGAATCTTTCACATGATTTCCTTCCGTAAGTTCCAAGCTCATTTTGCGTGTGTTCGCTCACTGTCTATCTCATCTCAACCTCTTTTAAGATTGCGCTTGGGCTGCCACTCATCTGAAAAGCCTGTTGCAGCTCACAGCTCTCAGCTTTCTAGTAATGGCACTTTATGGCGGAGATTCTGCTCGCACAGGGATATAAAGTGAATCAAAGTTAGCCGATAGACGATGAAGGTCAATTTAGTGTGGGGGATGGGTACGCATTTAAGAACGATGAACAATGCACTTCGCAATGCTCCTTCCTTGCCACAGAATCAAGGAAAGGGAAAAACATCTTTAGAAAAATTTGATTTCGTCTTATCGTGCATAAGATTTCTCTAACAGTTCCTCAGTGAGATGAGGGTACGAGAAAGTTCTCAAAGTTGAAGCGGAGAAATAGAGCGATGAAAGTGAGCGATATAGTACCTCCCATAACTTTGTTAAAAAAGACGCGGAAGACGCGGATCCGCGTCTTTTTCGTCTTTTTGCTATAATTTGATTTCTGATCACTTTTCGACAAGAAAAACTATACCATTAGACTCAGCTCGTCGAGTTCTATAAGAATGCCCGGATCCGCGTCTTTCGCGTCTTTTTTTAACAAAGTCATGGGAGGTACTGTAGATTCTTCGTGCTGTTGTTGAGCAGGCGGATGGACATTTGAGTGAGTGAGCCACTTTAATACTTGGGGTTAAGCCCTCGGGGAAAGGAGAAGAAAATTTGTTTCTGAGAGCGAATTTCAGGCTGCTGTTCCTCCCCTCCTGGCATAGTCCTAGTTTGCGGTTTTTGAATGCCCTGTTTTGAACGTCTCTTTTGAAGCCATGAGTGCAGAAGAAGACACGGGTCGTATTGGTACGAATTTCCTGATACCATACCTCAGCTTGCACATGAGAGGAGCTCTTCAAGTGTTGTAAGAAAGTTTATGCTGCAAGGGGCACATCACAAACGCTTCTTCCAGAGCGCTCATAATTTGCAACAGTTGGCAAACTTTTATCACATTTTGTCCACCATAGGCACCGAAAAACCTCAGAGATAGGAGAACCCACGATTGACCTATTTCCTCTCTGCAAAAAGGCGATTAGGTTTGTCTCGTTACTGTCCGAGCTGCTTTGACTTCTTTTCCTGAGTTTCATTAAGTTGTTCTCGCAAATGTGTTCGCGAAATCTGGAAAAGGCCCACATTTTTCACCGCAAGGTCGCGTGATACCCGAATTCCATTGATTGTCATCGGCGAAGACGTCGGGAAAGATGGTTCTCCGAGAAAACAAAAAATACTATTGGCAAGCAATTCTTCAGTGCATCTAGCCACGAAAAGAGTGAATAGGAGTTCCATGGAAACCTGGGCGGCCAGACTCCAGATGTCAGGTACAACTGATTGCCAGCGTGATCGGTTGAACTACGGTAATATCAGAAAAAGTCGCATGGTAGGAAATTCGGCCACCAACATTTTAACTATTCACATGCTTCATCAATTCATGATTTCAGCGTCATCAGGCCAAGTTATGGTAGTTGTGCTAGGGTATGCGTGCACTGCGAAGCAGACAACCCAGGAGGAGGCAGCAGGGTCAGTCCTATCGTTGTTACTTTTTCAAAAATTTTTACGACCCCCCTCCCCCAAGGTGGATTTGGTACGACCCCCTTTTCGACACCTCGACCACCATATTCCTCTCTATAGTATTTAATTCTGGTACCACTCAACCCACCAAACTCCGCCCACTTTTTCCTCCAAAAATGCCGTCGAGCCAATATACGCGCTGAAACGGCGAATTTTTCTCCCATGCGCTCCCAACTCACCTAGCCTACTACTCGTGAAAACTCCACTTTCACCACAAACTCACATGTATTTCACGCGACTGAAGCGGATACGACCCCCCCCCCTATAAACTCAACCAGGTACGACCCCCCGTTGTTACTAGTAACAACGTGGGATTGACCCTGGGAGGGAGGCAAAGACTTTTCGCCCATCACGTTTTTTTCACCGCATAGATTGCCGCTGATGACGGTATTCCTCTAGCAAAATACTTCAGAAATCACCGTCTGTGAGTCGAGGCAAGCGAATAGATTCACCAGCGGATTGTCCCTTAGAGGCATTTGCTTTGACTGTGCAATCCTCCTCCCAAGCACCCAGATATACTAACCGTCAAGTATCCCGGTAAGCTCTATCCCCTGCGCACCATGCTTCCATGGCAGATTTTTCAAGTGCCGTCTGCGTAAGCTAAAGCTATTGTGAAAATTTTATAATGTGCATTGTGCTCATTAATCATCAATCATGAGCTTACGGTTTGGATTCAGCAAAATATGATTAATTCCATTTGAAATGTGGAGGCAAAAAGCTTTTCAATACACATTCACATTTCTGTAGTGCCAAACTGCTAGGATGTGGTGCTGACAAGTTCCACATAGATGAGGGGGTGTGTGGGAGAACGCATAGACAGCATTTTATTAGGTGCAGGTTACATCGGGTCAGAAAATGTTAGGAGGTTGATTTTTTCAAAGACAGGAAACCAGCCTAGGGTCAGCTTTGATCTAAATAAATATTTATAAGCCCTCTAGGAAAGCTTTTCTGAACGAATTCTTTTGTCACATTTCGTATTCGCTTTGTCTGATTGCCAATTTCTGAAAAACAGCATCTCAAGGAATCTTGCGGTCATAAAACATGAATACCATCTGCAACATGTTGTCCCATCACACGTCTGCGTTGCAGGGATGCAGATTTTCCGGTTTGCCAGGGCTCCCACTGCCATAACAGAAACATTTTTCAGTAGCAAGTTAAACGTGTGACTGCTAAACTTGCTGGCCAACAGATGATGAATTATAGAATGTAACCGGACACGCTTCTCAATGCATTATGGGAACAAATCTTTTACTCGATACCACCTGAATTGGTATTTTCTCTTGCTGCCAATGAGTGCAAGCTTTTGGAGTCCTTACCCAGTAGCAACTACTACACGGGGAGTGTAATGGAACAAAAAAAAAGAGTTGTTTGACCATTGCGGCACATCATAGACTTTCCGTCACACAGGGTTCCTCCGCCAATGGAATTTCCAGGGTCACCTTCAGAAGAAGTGGCGAAAGAATCAGCTTCCTCTAACAGAGACGTTTCGAACTCATTACCTGTGTCAATGGGTAGTGTTCCTGTGATCCCAGGAACAAATGAACTGTTACCGAACTGCTGTATGCTACCCTATAGTGAATGACTGAAAATTGGTGGTTCAGAAGTATTCAATATCAGATACTTTCTCGGCAGCAATCGTCCGCACAGAAGGCTCCCCACCAGGGTCAACCACGCGCTCGCACTATTCGAACGAGGGGGTCGCATTTGTGGTTGATTTTGGGAAGGGGGTCGCATTGATGGTGGAGTGGGATTAGTAATTTGTTGACTGGAGGTGGGGGCGAGGCGATTTAGATCGGTTTTTTGAGTGGTTCTGGAGGAGATGTAACGCACAGCGTGGGGTAGGATAGGGCAGGATAGGTGGGAGGGGAGAAATTAGCCGTTTTATTGCACAGATTGTACAGTAATACCCTCTCTTTCGCTCGATCGACGCCCTTTTGGGGGAAAGGTCGGCGAATTGAGGTAGGCTAGGCAGGGGTGGTATTGGGGGAACCTCCTGAGTCTCATGGTGGTGGTGAGGGCGGGGGTCGCATCGAGACCCCCCTAAAGGAGGAGGGTCGTAAAATTTCCGAGAATGTGCCATCGTCTCGGTTGAGCCTGCTCCCCACAGCTTCGTACTCCCGCAATTGCTCCTTTCCGCTCATTTGTCCAGTTCCTTAGGTAATATCCTGAAATTAGATGATTTGATGAATGCTGATGTGAAAGCCGCGCGTCTGACGATTCTGCTGCTTGAAGACGAGAGAGAGTGATCGCTTTATTCGACGCTGCTCCTCACAATTTTAGCTCAGTTTATATATCAGGCAAAGATTCCACAACTCTCCTGTATAGGAACACTATCTCGTGATGTTGAAGCACGTTCGGAATTTTGATTAGAGCTTTCGGCCAAGAAGAGCAAAAGACCAACACCATGCGAGAAAATGTAAATCTGTTAAGGCCCCAAAAATAGCTCATATCATAAAGACCATGTAAGTGAGAATCCGGAGAAAGAATAAGCAGAAGAAGAAGAAGCCAATATGAAATATTCTGTGAAGGCACAGAAACTCCCCCAGGACGAAAGCTAGTGGATCTTTTTCGATAAGATCACCGTGTGAAAAATAGTACGGTAGGCACAAGAGATAAGATTCAGAATAAGCAAGACTACGAATAATAAGAGAACATTTTTCACAGTCACAAGACTCAGAAAAAAGGATTGCACAGAATGAGTGATGTCTGATAAGAGAGTGGTGAATTTTGTTACTATTCTTGCATACAATGACGTATCACTTGAAGCAGTTCTTCTTTCGCTGGCAACACTCGATCCGCGGCTGATGAGGTTATCGTCCACGTAAGCCAGAGTTCCTTTGATGGTTATGTTGGCAGACCCTCCCGGGCACGAAGCAGAGCAGGAAGTGTATACGTGACTGGTAGAAAAGTGAAAAACGAGTTTGTTGAGTTTTGTGCGTGGAGTGCATTTGGCAATTTGATATTGGTCCTCACAAGTGATCAGGGCGGTCACCTCTCCTTCATCGCTCGTACAGGCGAGATCCATTATCGCTCCTGGGATGCAACTGTAGCACTGATTTCACGTTCAAGTGTTTTTCTCCATTTTTCATGAGAATACCAATAACGTGATTGCTTGATTTCATTTGTAAAGGAGTGATAGTGCCGAAAGTCGATATCGAAATGTCTTCCGTTGATAAGGGAGGAAGA